AAACGTCATTCTGTGCTGTTTGTCACTAGTCCTGTAACTGTCAAAGCAGGAAAAAAGGTTAGTTCTCCATGATATGTTGTTGATCCATCATGCTGACTCTTTGCTGTCACTGCTTCTTTTTCCAGATTTTCAAAAGCATCCCTTTAGTAATACATTTTAGAATTTCAGTAGAAATTGAAGGCAAGTTTATTGGCTTGTAATTTGTAAACTCGACTCTTCCGGTTTTTGAAAAAAAAATTGGTATTTGAATTTTGAGGTCAAATTTATCTCCTTGTATCAGGTTCTCTTGTTCCTTTCTTATTACTCATACTTTGTGTTCATTTATTTCTTTAAATAACATTTTTATTTATTTAGTATTTTATTTTCCCCAAATTACATGTAAAAACATAATTTTGTCATTCGTTTTTAAAACTTTGAGTTCCAAATTCTCTCCCTTCCTTCCTTGCCATCCTCCTTATTGAGAAGGCAAGCAATTCAATATAACTTATACATGTGTAGTCATGCAAAACACATTTCCATATTAATCATATTGTAAAAGAAAACATAGACCAAAAAAAATCCTCAAGAAATAAAGAAAGTAAAAAAAAGTATGCTTCAATCTGTATTCAGACACCATCAGTCTTCTCTCTGGGGATAGATAACATTTTTCAGCATAAGTCCTTGAGAGTTATCTTGGATCATTCTATTGCTGAGAATAGCTAAATCATTCACAGCTGACTCTCTTATATTGCTGTTACTGTACACAGTACATTTTGCTGTTACTGTACACAGTACATTTCTCTTTGCATCAGCTCATGTAAGTCTTTCCAAGTTTTTCTGAGAGCATCTTGTTCATCATCTTATCACACAATAGTATTCCATCACAATCACATACCACAATTTGTTCAGCCATTCCCCAATTCATGAGCATCCCCCCAATTTCCAATTCTTTGCCACCAGAAAAGAGCTACTATAAATATTTTTGTATGTATAGGTCCTTTTCCTTTTTGTTTTTTATTTCTTTTTGGATACAGATCTAGTAGTGGTATTGCTAGGTTATGGTTTTATAGCCCTTTGGGCATAGTTCCAAATTGCTATGTAGAATGGTTGCATCAGTTCACAGTTCCTCCTACAGTGCATTAAAGTTTCATTTTTCCCACAGCCCCTCCAACATTTGTCATTTTCCTTTTCTGTCCTATTAGCCAATCTAATAGGTATGAGGTAGTACCTCAGAGTTATTTTAGTTTGTATTTCTCTAGTCAGTAGTAATTTAGAGCATTTCTTCATATGGCTACAGATAGCTTTGATTATTTCATCTGAAAACTGTTCATATCTTTTGATCATTTATCAGTTGGGAAATGGCTCTTATTTTTATAAATTTGACTAAGTTATGTATATATGTGAAAAAGGAGGCCTTTATCAAAGAAACTTGCTTCAAAATTTTTTTCACAGTTACTATTGCTAACTATATTATGACGCCCCTCCCCTGTTTATTCTATTCTCTTTCTCCTTTCACCCTGTCTCCCCTCAAAAGTATTTTGCTTCTGACTACTGCCTCCCCGAATCTGCCCTCCCTTTTATCACTTTCCTCTCCCTTCTCTCATTCCCTTTCCTTCTTACTTTCCTGTATGATAAGATAGATTTCTATACCCAATTGAGTGTGTATTCTCTCTTTGAGCCAATTCTGATGAGGGTAAGGTTCACTCGCTCCCCCTGCTCCTACTTCCCCCATCTTCTTCTCCACTGTAAATACTTTTTCTTGTCTCTTTTATGTAAGATAGTTTACCCCATTCTGCCTTTCCCTTTTCCTTTCTCTCAGTGCATTCCTCTTTCTCATCCCTTAATTTTATTGTTTAGATATCATCCCTTCCTATTTGACTCACATATGTGCTGTCTGTCTATATATACTCCTTCTAACTCCCCTAATTATGAGAAAGTTCTTATGAGTTACAAGTATCATCTTCTCATGTAGGAATGTAAATAGTTCAACCTTATTAAGTCCCTTATGTTTTCCCTTTCCTATTTACCTTTTTATGCTACTCTTGAGTCTTATGTTTGAAAGTGAAATTTTCTATTCGGCTCTGATCTTTTGATCCAGAATGCTTGAAAGTCCTCTATTTCATTGAATGTCCATTTTTTCCCCTCAAGAATTTTTACTCAGTTTTGCTGAGTAGGTAATTCTTGGTTGTAATACTAGCTCCTTTGCCCTCTGGAATATCACATCCCAAACTCTCTGATCCTTTAAGGGAGAAGCTGTTAAATCTTGTGTTATCCTGACTGGTTCCATGATACTTGAATTGTTTCTTTCTGGCTCCTTGCAATGTTTTCTTCTTAACCTGGGAGTTCTGGATTTTGGCTATAATATTTCTGGGGGTTTTCATTTTAGTCTCTCTTTTAGGAAGATATCTGTGGATTCTTTCCATTTCTATTTTATCCTCTGGTTCTAGTATATCAGGGCAGTTTTCCTTGATAGTTTCTTGAAAGATGATGTCTAGGCTCTTTTATTAATCATGGCTTTCAGGTAGTCCAATAATTTCTAAAAATTATCTCTCCTGGGTCTATTTTCCAGGTCAGTTGTTTTTCCAATGAGATACTTCACATTGTCTTCTATTTTTTAATTCTTTAGGTTTTGTTTTATTGTTTCTTGATTTCTCAAAGTCATTAGCTTCCATTTGCTCAATTTTAATTCTTAAGGAACTATTTTCTTCAGTGAGGTTTTGGACTTCGTTTCCATTTGGCCAGTTCTGCTTTTCAAGGCATTCTTCTCCTCATTGGCTTTTTGTTCCTCTTTACCATTTGGCCTTGTCTGTTTTTTAAGGTGTCATTTTCTTCAGTATTTTTTTGTGCCTCTTTTACCAAGCTGTTGCTTGTTTCTCATTATTTTCTTGCATCACTCTCTTTTCCCAATTTTTCCTCTAACTCTTCTACTTGATTTTCAAAATCCTCTTTGTTAAAGTGGGGATGTGATTTTAGGATGGAGGGTGCAGTGTCCCAAGCTTCAGGGGTTTTGTGCAGCTATTTTTCGAGATAATTCTAGGGACCTGTAAGTTTTCAGTTACTCCAAAGTGGTATGATCTAAGGATAGGTGTGTTTACTAGTCTTCTGGCCTGTGCTCTGGTCTATGAGTGACCACAAGTACTGTTTTCTGCCCAGAACTGTGACAAAGGCCCCTGCATCACTATGACTACAAGCTCTGGTGTGCTAGTCCTCCTTATCATCCTGGGATTGCCACCCAGGACTGTGACCCCTTGTAAACTCCTGATTAGTTGTTCTATCCTCTTACTGTCTGTGGACTGAGAGCTCTGGAAGCAGCCACTGTTGATTCAGTAGCTCCCAAGATTGGCTTCTGGTTTGCTGGGGCTGGACTGTGCTGGCACAGCCTGTGCTATACTCTGTGCCATCTCACCCAGGTGTGACAGACCTTTCATGCCATCTTCTAAGTTGTCTTGGGCCAGAGAATTATTTCACCTTGTCCTTTTGTGAGCTCTGCCACTCCAGGAATTGTTTTATGGCATTATTTAAAAGTGTTTGGAGGGGTTTTGGGGAGAACTCAGGCGAGTTACTGCCTTTTCTCCACCATCTTGGATCTGCCTCTCTATTCATTCATTTTTATAGAGATATTCAAAGCATGAACTTTATTGTTGGATTTTGTCTCTGTGAAGTGGCTATGTTTACTGCTCTTTTCCTCCTGTTTTGTAGGTGCTCTCTAGGGTATCTAGATTTTTAGATTTACAGAAGTTGTTTTCTTCCTTATCTTCCCCCTTTAGCTTAAAGCCTTTTTAGAGTTCCAAGTTTCTAGGCACATACATTCTTTTTTTCTTTTTCAGCCAAAGACAAGGTTTATTAAAGATCCGCCATATTAGCCAGACTCTTAAGGAATCTGAGCACCTGTGAGCTATTGGCTAGATTGTAAGAATCTGAGTACCTTAATAGAGACAAGATGGACCTTATATACAGAAAGACTGTGGGAAGGATCTTGGAGTGGCCAAGTAGTTTGGGGTGACTGGAGGAGGGGTCTAAGGAGGATCTGAATGGGAGTGGCCAGTAAACTGGGGTGACTGTATAGTGACTGAATGCCTGGGACCTAGACCAAGTGGCCAAGGGAGAATGGAGCCTAGCTAGGATTAAGGGTGGGAAGTGGCTGGGGGCCATAGGGAGGTAAGACAATGGAGGACTAGGCTAGGTTAAAGGTAGGAATTGGGAGATGGGTTTAGCCACAATTAAAGGCCAATGATGGGATTATGGCCTCAGGAGAATGCCAGAGACCTCCTTGATCAAGTGGGAGAATTCAAGGAGAATCCCTTAGACAAATGGGACCCAAATTCTTTTTGGGGTAAGGGGCAAATGTCTTTGCTTGGGACTGTACCCCATCATTAGGGGGTGGGGCAGGCAGCATGGCCAATAGGCACACACATTCTTCCCACTCCTTCTTGGGTAGTTTTTGCCCAGGACTTCATAATCCCTAGCTGTCTTTTCTAGGTTCCTGTTGGAAGTATCATTTTCCCCTATAAAGATCATTAGAATTAGGTAGTAATCATCTTATTTGACCAGTCTTGGGAGTATGTCTGGTACTTCTCACATTATGTGCACATTATGTAAGTCATTAGTTCTCTCTCTAACTAATGTCATCAGCAGATGACTGGGCCACCTTGATACTCTTCAGCAGGAAGTCTCTAACCAATCCTACTTATCTCTTCTTCTTCTGACATTTAGCAGAGGGTTTCTCTCCTATCAGCACATGTGAAATTACATCATTATTCCTTGAAGTGTAAGGAGTTTCTTCCTTCATAGGTTACATTCCCCACTCTGTTGGAAGAATCTTATGCCTTTTACTTATTCCCAGTCATTCTCCCCTTTCTTCTCTGTGTTCACATTCTTCAACCCTGAAACATTAAAATACGGGGTAGGTTTCTGCTCATTTTTCTTTAGTTTTGTTTTCTTTGTTTTTACTTTGGAGTCTTGCTTTTCTTTTGCTTACATCACAGACAACATTGAATATTTACACCTTTCCCCCCTCCTAGATTTTCTTCATGAATGTAATATACTTGGAAGACTTCATCCTGGAGAGAAATCATTTGAATGTAATCAGTGTGGGAAGACTTATTGCAGCAAACAATATTTAACTGAACATCAAAGAATTCATACTGGTGAGAAACCTTATAAATGTAAAGAATGTGGGACAGCCTTTAGTCAGAAGAGGCACCTTAAAATACATAATATAATTCATACTGGAAAGAAGCCTTTTGAATGTAATCAATGTGGGAAAGCTTATTGCAGCAAACAATACTTAACTGAACATCAAAGAATTCATACTGGAGAGAAACCGTATAAATGTAATGAATGTGGGGAAGCCTTCAATCGTAAACACTCCCTAGGCCAACATGAAAAAATGCATACTGGAGAAAAACCCTACAGATGTAATGAATGTGGGAAAGCCTTTGGTCAGACGAGACACCTTAAAACACATAAGATAACTCATACTGGAAAGAATCCCTTTGAATGTAATGAATGTGGGAGAGCTTATTGCAGTAAACAATATCTAACTGAACATCAAAGAATTCATACTGGAGAGAAACCCTATAAATGTAAAGAATGTGGGAAGGCCTTCAACCGGAAACATTCTCTAGGCCAACATGAAAAAATGCATACTGGAGAGAAACCCTACAAATGTAATGAATGTGGGAAAGCCTACAGTCAGAAGAGACACCTTAAAATACACAAGATAATTCATACTGGGAAAAAGCCCTTTAAATGTAATGAATGTGGAAAGGCTTACTGCAGGAAACAATATCTAACTGAACATCAAAGAATTCATACAGGAGAGAAACCTTATAATTGTAATGAATGTGGGAAAGCCTTCAGCTCTAAGGCAAATTTTTATGTACATAAAAGAATCCACAGTGGAGAGAAACCCTACATATGTAATGAATGTGGCAAAGACTTTACACAGCAAGGACAACTTAAAATGCACAAAATATTTCATACTGGAAAGAAGCCCTTTGAATGTAATGAATGTGGAAAAGCCTTCTACACCAATTCTGGCCTTAAAGAACATAAACTAATTCATTCTGGAGAGAAACCTTTTGAGTGCATTGACTGTGGGAAAGGCTTCAGGTTCAGTTCAGGTCTTCTGAAACATCAGAGAAGTCATTCTGAAGAGAAACCTTATAAATGTAATGAATGTGGTAAAGGCTTCAGGCGGAGTTCATACCTTATGCAACATGAGAGAATTCATACTGGAGAGAAACCCTATGAATGTAATGAATGTGGGAAAGTTTTCAGGTGGAAGGGAAACCTTGATTCACATAAGAGAGTTCATATTAAGGGAAAACCATATTCATGTAATGAATGTGGGAAAGCCTTCAGGCTTAAAGACAGCCTCAATACACATGAGAAAATTTGTACTAGAAAGAAATGCTTTGAATGAAAGGAGTGGATAGTAGCTTATAGTTGGAGGTGAAACTTTGCTGCACATAATAAAACAGTCCACAGAGACACTTTGAATGTAAGGAATCAGTGAAAACTTTGCCATTTAATATGTACTGTTTATTAGTTAAGAAACATGGAATTCGTGCTGGGCAGAAATCCTATGACTAATGAATGTGAGAAAACCTTCCACTGGAAGCAAAACCTTAAAATACACACAAAAAACCTTAATATTTATAGGAAACCTTATAGTGTAATGAGTGTGGGGAACCCTTCAAATGGTGTGGAATACGTAAAGAATTTGAGGCAGTGATGGAGAGAACCCTGCTGGTATACAAAATGTGGAAAAGGCTTAATGAGAAATCAAAACTTAGCATGAACCAGAGCTTTCATACTAAAAGCATCACATTTAATGTGATGAATGTGACTTTACTGAAACAAAATAGAAACCTGGAGGACCATAAGAGACTTCATACTAAAGAAAGAAATTCTTTGGTTATAATGAATTGGGAGTCTTCATGCTGAGTCAGACCTTTGCTACACATCATAAAATTGTTACTGTGGAGGTTGTTTTTAAAAAATATATTTGGGGGAAAATTCAGTTAGGGGGAACACATTCCATGACCTCAGATAATTTATCTGGCCGAGAATCTCCATGAATGTAGTAAGAATAGTTGGAAGTCTATCACTGACCTCATGCTATCGATTAACTCTGTAGGTGTGATGGAAGGAATGCTTCAGAAGAGTTCATAGTCTCAAAATTTCAGTTAGAAGGGCCTCAGAGACCATTTAGTCAAGTTTTATCTGAAAAGGAGTCTTCTATACAAGATGCAAGTTTTATCTAGTTCTTGTTTTAAGACTTTTAATATTTGGGAGTCCATTGCTTCCTTAAGGCAGTGGGCTCCACTTTTGGATTAATCTGATAATTCAGTTTTTCCTTATCTGAAGCTAAAATGTGCTTCTTTGCACTTTCTCCCATTTCTCCTAGCTCTGCCCTCTGTGGCAAAATACAACATGCTTAATCCCACTTCCTCGTGACAGTCCATCATATACTTGACATCAGCTAGAATGCCCTCCCTGAGTCTTCTCTTCTGCAGAAACATCCTCCGTTCCTTCACCTCAACTTCATCTAAAATGAACTAAAGCCCTTCAGTGTTCTGATTGCTCTCTTTTTAACACTCAAGCATATCATTTGTCTTCATAAAATATAGCGTGAATGAATGAAAAATCATTAATTATAATTAGTTACTAATTGGTTACTGGCTTACTAAGTGCCAAGTGTTGTGCTAAGCACTGAGGATACAAATACAAAGAAGAAACAGTTTCTGCCCCCAGGAAACTTAGATTTTAACATGGGAAGAAAACATACATAGGAGAGTAGTAGTTTGGGATAGTTGTTTTGGCTTGGGTGATGGTGAATTGATTGACATGCCCTTTTTCCAATAGTGCTGGTGATGTTATCACCGTGATCAAATTATCATGGTTATAGAGGTAGAAAACTGGAGATGGAAGAGGGGAAAGAGTAGAAGGATATGTGGTGTGACAGGTTAGATGTCAAAAGATGACCATGGTAGAATGTCAATCTTGGCTAGAAATGGCTGGACATTGTGGGTCATTTGATATAGTCATTAATTAGAATAGCACAGCCCTATACTAAGAATTCTAGAGCTGAGAGGGACAAGTTCCCAAGAGAATGGCATCTAGCATATAAAAGTACAGTAGTAGGGAAGATGGTAAGGTCTGGAGGGCCATAGGGTACAGCAGAGGCAGGGCAGATGACTGTGGTACTATTTCAAGTGTGGTGGAACCAGTTACATATGGGTCATGTGATACACTTGCCAGTTAGACAGCGAAGAGCCAGGAATTCCAGAGCTAAGACATAGTCTTTTGTTTCCAGTATATTAGTAGGATGGATAACAAAGTCTGGAGGTCCAAAGGGTGCAGTGGTAGGCAGAGTAGAGGGAAGGATAACCGAGGGTGGAATGTGAACTATAACTTAGGCTAACCAGACATACTGGGAGATTTAATGCACTCACCAATCAGGATAGCATGGGCCTCATGGTGGGAATTCCAGAGATCAAAGAATTGTTTCAGAACTAATGAGAATATTTTGGATGGATGTGGTCTGAACAGTGGAACAATGCAGCATTAATGCATCCTGAGATGCATTAGCTTTCTTTGGCTGTACTTTTACATTGTTTGGCTCCTTTTGGGTCTCTCATCCACCAAAATCTCCTGACTTTTATTAGATGAACTGCTCTCTAGCAATGCCTCCCCTGTTTTATACTTGTGAAGTTGATTTGATAAACCCGAGTTTAAGACATTGCATTTACTGTTATTACATTTAATCTGATTCAGTTTGGCCCAGTGTTCTACCAGGTCAAGCATTTTTGAATATTGACTCTATGATCCTAGTGTGTTAGCTTTTCTTCCTAGGTTTGTTCCATCTGCGAATTTGATAAGCAGGCCTTGATCCAACTATTAATAAAGATGTCAAATAGCACAGATCTCTGGAATGCTACATTGGAGAACCCTTTCCCCTTTAACATCAAAGAGTTCTCCTCAAAAGAAATCATACTTTATTCAGTGTTGAGGAGGTATTGTGGCAGATTTTTTTTTTCCCCACCAGCCACAATAGTGTCGCCTTGAGAGAAAAATGACTTGGAAGTTCCCTCCAGTGATGTGAATCAGTGGTCCCTGCTGGCTGCATATTGACTTAGAAAACCACAAATTAATATCATCCATATTGTATTGTATTTTTATGTTTTTTGTTAAACATTTCCCAATTACATTTTAATTTGGTTCAGGCTGCTAATATTAGGGAGTCTACAAAGCCTCTGAGTTTAGTGTAGATCATAATCCATTTTCCTTTAAGTTGACCAGTGAATCCACCTAATGTTCTGGAGTCCTTCCTTGAATTCTGACATCATGAGGGCACCAGTGGTGCACTTTATTCATCTATCATCTCTTACCCTTGCCATGTGACACACCCTTCTTCTTTTCCAATCATATGATTCATTGATGACATCTTTTACTCCTGTTCTTTGGAGCTGCTCATTGGTTATAAGTTATACTCTGTTTACATCCACTATGGGCCTCTCTATTGCCTCTGTGTGATAGTTATATCTAATTCTTTGGAGTCTTATATTTCATGTTTTATTGCCCAACACTATTCAATAGAATGTTGATATTAAAAAGATGGACCTTTGCTTTCATGGGAAGCTTGGGGGCATTAAATAAGCTTTGTGATTTCCTATTGGCAATCCAGCACCCTTTCCTCCTGGTCAACTTTGGATATGTCCATCTGTATAGTCTTTCCCAAATATACATACTGTTGGACAAGTTCTATAGGTTGGTCATCAACATGCATGTTTTAATCTGGGCAGTAGACATTCTTCAGCTACTTGGTCTTTCTTGTTTGGATGGTCAAGCTACACTCCTTTGAAAGATAACAGATTTCTTCCAGAAGACTGCAGTACCCCAGGACTTGATGCAATTAGCACAGTGTTATCCATAAACAGAAACATCTGGAAGACATCACTTTTTCAACCTAGACTTTATGTTCGATCTTTGCCATCATGGTGGCAAACAGTTTTGGCAAAAATAAATCCCTCTGTTTTATGCCTTGCCTGATATTTATGAGTATGGGGTTGTAGAACAGGATTATTTCTGTTATTTTATCTTTAGAATGATTTTAATGTATGGGTGGGGAGCCCCTTGTTGCAAAAGAACCTGTAAGGTGGCATTTTGCTCTGTCTGATCAAATGCTTTTGAACAAACAGTGGGTACAGTGGAATCCCAAATCCTATGGTAATGATGTGGTCCAATGTTGAAGATTGCTTGCCAGAGCCTATTTAATCTTTAGTAATAACCTCATTAAGTAAATCCTTAATTCATGTCATGTCATACTTACTGACTCCATTAAATTATGAGCTCCTTAGGGGGCAGGGACCGTCTTTTGCCTCTGTTTGTATCCTCAGCACTTAACACAGTGCTTGGCACATAGTAGGCACTTAAATGTTGTGTTTTTTTTTTTTTAACTAACTCATGTAGATGATTCTTATGCAGATTTTTAACTGCAAACGAGGGTATGTAGGTCAGAAGTTACTGATGTTCTCTTAGTCACTTTTGTCAGTATTATTAAGGTCCCAGATTTTTCCATTGCTTTGGTATCTTCCTCTCAAACACCTTGGATATCCATCCTAAAATGGCCTCACAATTGTGTCATTTCTAGCACAGGTCTCCTCAATGTACACTTGGTCTGGGCTGCCCAATTTTCCCATCTTTGTTCTCTATATTGTCATTTCTTTCTTTCCTATGAGCTCACCCAATATTGTGATGTTAGCGTATGTGTGGGATGATTACACTGTTTTTGATATAGAAAAAACATTTTTCATGACAACTTTTACACATCTTTTCCATTTGTCTTCTTGTTTTCCTTCCATTTTCATTCTTAATGCACTTTGGATGACTTTGTTTAGTTGAATACCATGCCAAACTTTTATCCTCCTCTACTCTTGGCCCCTGAGAACTGTTCATCATTCTTCTTTATAATATTTTAAAAATAAAGTCATATTCTAGCCTGGTGTAGCTTTGGCTCACCCAGCTCTTCATTTATGAGCTTTCTGTGCTCTTAGCTTCCTTGTAGCAAATTAATTTATATTGAGTTAACTTTCATGCAAAATTCTTAGAGTTGATATTGATATGTCGATTGTCCTGTTTTGATTGTCAGTTACTTGTTTAAATAGTTCAAAGTTAAGTTATTTCACATGTATGCCTTAACGTTTTTCTCATTCTTGTCTTTTTTTATTAATTATAATCATAGCTCTGATCATAGATGGTCTGACATGCTTCAGGGATAATTCATATCACTATCTAGTCACTTCTTGTCTGTTAAAGTATGATCTACTTTGTTTTTAACATGTTTTTATTTGGTGCTCACTGTGTTACACCACCTGCCAATGCGTAGAGAAGCACATTGCAGTAAGCTGGCCATGTAGCAATGAATTGTTTTGGCTATGGCAATACAAGAAACAAAGTAAAATGAAAAGCGGCCATTAGTCTTTTGCTGCCCACTTTCTGCTTCAGAGGTGATGATGATAAGAGTTGTGGGAAAACAGACCATCAACAAATATTTTTGATAATCTAAATGCAAGATCCTTGTCCAGTGGTCAAGTAGATTCATAGCTGAAGGATGAGAAGCATATCCATCTTGACATTCTTGTTATAAACAAAACCAGAAGACAGCTGGAAGTTGTAGCCAAATAGGAGGATGGTGCTAGAAGACAACTTTAAAGGGACTAATTGGAGAAGCAAAGAAAGGTGATAGATAGGGATAATGCAGCCCACCCTTATTTCTGTAAAGAGTGTTTTTAGTTTGTATTAATGCAAGCCCTGAATGTGACTTAATAGGTGGTATATTAAATGTTTATAGATACTTTGAATGAAATCTCTTTTTGTAAGTCCTACTAAGTTTTGTTAATAATATACAGAAAGGCTGAAGATTTAAGAGGTTTATTTTATATCTTACTATTTGACCGAAGTTATTGTTTCAATTAATTTTTAGTTGAATTTCTATCATATCATTTGAAAATAGTGATTTTTTTCTTCTTTGCCTATATTTATGCTCTCAATTTCTTTTTCTGTCTTTTTATATAGCTTGCATTTCTAGCTCTGTATAAAATTAGTGATAACAATGGACATTCTTTTTTTTTAGTTTTACTGGAAAGACCTCTAGTGTTTCTTCATTTCAAACAAAGCTAGCTTTTGGCTTTACATAAAGTTTACCTCATTAAGGAAAAGTCCATTTTCCCTAATTTATTTTTTAACATGGGTGTTTGCATTTTGTCAAAAGGTTTTTCTGCATCTTTTGATATAATCATGTGATTTTTGTTTTTGTTACTAATATGGTCAACACAGTGACCATTAATGATTTTTGAAGGCCAGTGATGAAGAGTGCCTGTCATCTCTGGGCAGAGAGATGATGGACTAAGAATGCAGAATGAGATGCATTTTCAGATATGGCTAATGTGCTCGTTTGCTTGGCAGCTTTCTATACTCGTTTGTTAGAATGGAGGGCTTCCATTTTGGGAGGGGTGATTTAGAGAGAATGAAACATCACTAAAATTAAAAAAAAATACAAAGGAAAAAAATTCAGAAGAAAAACAGACACAAAAGAATTTTACTACTTAAACTCAAAATGCATTTTCATATCTTTGTATATTAAAATATTTGTGTTTGTGGTTTATTAAGTGGGTAGGAAAAACATTACACATTTTTATAAAAAGAAATTCTTTGGATGTGGAGGAACCTACCCTCCTCAGGGTGCCTTGGCAGTTTTTATACTCTGCAATTGTTTTTCATTCAAGATTTTTAAATCAAATCCTTCAATAAATTCCACTGGAATATATACAAGTTGTATACTGGGTTTTGCTTTTTGCCATTTATTGGTGCAATGCTTACTACATAATCCTGATATATAAATATATATATACATATACACATACACATATATATATACACATACATATATGTATATATGCACACACATATATACATATGTATGTGTCTCATATGTGTATATACATATGTGTGTATATGTATATATACATATACATATATGTATATGTCTGGGTGTATATATGTATATATACATATGTATATGTGTATGTATGTGTGTGTATATATATATATACATATGTATATATATTTCCCCCCAAGAACCTTTTTAGTTGAATCCCTTAAGTTTTGGTCTCTTGTCTTAGAATAGTAATTTCCTTTGATGAAATTTACTATTGTTTCTATAATTTGTTCTTTAACCCACCAATTCTTTAAAATTGTCATATAGTCTCTATTTTTTAACTCTTTCTTTAAGAGTTAGAGGTGAAAAATCTGTGCATTCCAGACCCTGATAGCCAGGGCAAAGGCGTGGAGATTGGAGATGAGGGATGGGAGATGGGTGTGTCCTGTTTCTGGTAGAGTATATGGGGTGGTAAGGCTTAATAAAGCTGGAAAGGTAGGAAGGGGCCAAGCTATAAAGGGCCACCCTCAGTGTAGAACGGGAGTATAATTTGCTCCTGGCGGTAAGAAGGAGCCGCTGGAGCTCTCTGGGCAGGAAGGTAACATTGTAAGGCCTACCTTAGGGAAAAAAATCATCTTGTCAGGCGCATGGAGGCTTAGGGAGAGAATGCACCGGGTCGGGGCAGCCCCCGGGAAGGCTCTTGCAGTCGTCCAGGCGGGAGGCAGTGAAGGCCTGAATCGGGGTTTGGGGTAACAGAAACAGAAGTGAAGGCAAGGTTCGAAGCATATCGAAAAGGACAACACTGAGGTTTGAGGACCTGGGTGACTGGGAGGATGGAGAACCCCACTGAGGGTTTTCTTGGCAGAGATACTGGGGCAGCTTGCCATTTCCTTCTCCAGCCCATTTGACAGGTGAGGAAACTGAGGCAAACGGGACGCGCCTTGCTCAGGGTCTCTGAGGTCGGGTTTGACCTCAGGTCTTCTGACTCCAGGCCCAGCTCCATCCCCTGACCCAGCCAGCTGCCCCACCCCCACCCCACCCGCCGCGGTTCTTAAACCTGGGGCCCACCAGCTTTTTTTTTTTAACTGCTAACTGTTTTTTCGCTCTGTCGGGCTCCTTCCACTAGCCTCACCAGGGGGTCTCTGCCACAAAAAAGGCTGACAACGCCTGGAATAGAGGAGGCGGAAGGGGCCCGGGACCGGACCTGGGGGGGCCGTGGGGCCGCCGTGGACGGGGATCCCGCAGGGTCTGGGAAGGAGCGGCTGGGCAGCCGGAGGACGAGGTGACCCACGCGTGCCGAGGCCGGGCCTTTCCTGCCCACGGAGCCGTTCCCGACACGCGCGGACACCTGACCTGCCGCCCGCTGGGCTCTGGACGGCCCGGGCGGGGCTCCGGACGGCCTGGGCGGGGCTCCGGCGTCTGGGAGAGGAGGGATCATCTTCCAGCCGGACTCCGAAGGGAGCGGCTGGGGTGCGGCTCGGCGCAGGCGCACTAGGCGGACCTGGATGAGCCGGCGCAGAAGCGGCGCCGCACTACATCTCCCAGAATCCTCTCCTTGGGACGAGCCTCCCTTACCCAAATCCTTCATTGGTAGGCGGCCTCCTTGTGCTGTGCTCGTTGTGCGCAGGCGCAGTTCCTGGCAGGTTGGGGTTTTTAAGGCTCTTTTGCTGGTTCGGCGCCACCAGAGCTGCAGGTGAGTGTCAGCGTGAACTGGAGCGTGAGGGGGGCGGGTCTTTGTCCCTCCGCTCCTCGCCCCGCCCCCGTGCCTGCCCTCCCCTCCCCCATCCCCACTCAAGGTCCTCGTCCTGGGACAGAACCTCCGCTAGTCCTTGGCTCCTCCATGCCTCAGTTTCCTCCTCTGTCAAATAAGAGATCCCAAGAGAGGGCGGGTCTGGAGTGGGGAGGCCGAGGGGGCGGAGCTGACAAAGTGAGGGTGTTGGGGACACCCCAGGGACGAAGTGAGAGCAGTTCTGTTTGGGGGGAGCCGGGGCAGGGGGAGGGGCTGAGGGAGGAAGGATGGGGAGGGCAGGGGGCAAGGGGTCCAGAAATCTGCAGGGGGGAGGTGGCTGCACTCCACCCTCTCCAAGTGGTCTGAGCCCCAGGCCACGCCCTTCCGTCCCAGCTCTTGGTCTGTCACTCATCCGACCCCCTTGGTTGAGAAGAGCTGCGATCTGGGGGTCAGGAGGGAGCTGGGGTCAAATTTGCTTTGACAATTAACCAGCTGTTAAGACCAGAGTTAAGTCTAGGAGCGTTGTGAGGCTCCAATGAGGTAATCGATATAAAGCGCTTTGCAAACTTAAAGCGATATATAAATGCCAGCTAGCAGCAGCAGCATCATCATCATCATCACCATCATCATCATCAGTCTACAGTCACCAGGTCTCCAATCTGGTGATCACACCCCCGCCAGGAGCTCAAGCAAGGCGTATGGAGCCATATAGAGCGTGCTAGTAAATGTTTAACCACCAGGCTCTTCAGGGGCAGGAAACATTGTATGCCCATATGCTTTTAAGTTTAATCTGCGTTATTAACTTTCTCTATTGCTTTCTTAAGTCGTATCAACAAAAAAATAAATTAAGCCCTGGTTTGTAATGGATTTCAGAGCCGTAAATGTTGACGCTGGAAATTTAACAAGAGCTGGATCCAGGACACCCCTGGGCAGCTCAAGACTAGTCCCTCTAAGCCTTATTTTCCACATCTGGAAAATGAGAATATAAATACTAGTGACACTTATTTCCCTGGGATGTAATGAGACTCACAGGAAATACTAGGCATGAAGTGCTTTGTAAACTCTAAATAAAGCATTATATACCCATCTGCTGTGATCTTGAGAACTTTTTTTTTTCCTTTTGGTTCAGACCCTTCCCCATCCTTTTAGGTCACCCTTGTCAGCTTGATCCACTGAAAAGGGAATTTTATTTGGAATCAAAAGACTTGGGTTTGAATCCTGGTTCTGTTATTTACTCTTTAATTTTAAAAAATTATTCATTTTAAATACAAAAGGAAGAAAAGAAAAAAAATATTTACATGTTCTACATGTTCTGTACAGTAGAACATAAGAGAAGATTCAATGTAATATGATTAATTTCCATTTCAAGAAAGCCTATGTAATAAATGCTACACAATGTTTTCAAAGCTACCTCAGCTCTTCTGTGTGCTTCCTTCTACGTTTTCTTTTGTTCTCTGCTGTGCACTTTTTATTTTATTTTTTTTTATTCCCTTGCTGCCCCTCTCCCAGGCTACAATTGAACACACACACACACACACACAGACACATATATATATATATATACATATCTGTAAACATGCAGATATACATATATATAAGTCCATACTATGCATATTTCTATATATGAGTTCTTTCTCTGGAGGTGGATAGCATTTTCTTTCATAGGTCCAAATCATTCCATGTCTTTCTAAAATCAGCCAGCTCATCATTTCTTATATCGTAGTATTCCATCACAATCATATTCCACAGCTTGTTTAACCATTCCCCAGTTGAAGGACATCTATCATTTTAGTCAATCTGATAGATAGAAGATGATATCTCAAAGTTGTTTTAATTTGTGTTTCTCTAAATAATAATGATTTAGAGCATTTTTTCATATGATTATATGTAGTTGTTATTTCTTCATCAAAAAACTCCCCATTCATATCCCTTGACCATTTATCATTTGGGGTATGACTGAATTCTTATACAGTTAGCAAAGTTTTTTATATATTTGAGAAATGAGACCATTACCTGAGAGACTGTCAATGAAAGTTTCCTCCCAATTTTCTGCTTTCCTTCTAATCTTAGCTGCACTGGTTTTATTTGTATAAGAACTTTTAAATTTAAAATAATTGAAATTTTCCATTTTATACCTCACCAATATATTATTCTTTTGTCCGTGAGTCTGATAGGTAATATATTCCATGTTCTCCTAATTTTCTTGTGATATCACCTTTTATATCTAGGTCATGTATCCATTTTGACCTTATCTTGGTACATGATTTAATATATTGGTCTATGCCCAATTCCTGCCAGACTGCTTTCCAGCTTTCCCAACAATTTTTTTTACCAAATAATGAATTCTCATCCCTAAAACTTAAGCCTTTACATTTGTCAAACACAAAGTTACTATAGTCCTTTACTACTGTGTTTTGTATGTATACCCTGTTCCTGTAATCTAGTCTATTTCTTAGCCAGTACCAGATAGTTTTGATATTTACTGCCTTTTAATATAGTTTAAGGTCTGGTACTGCTGAATCTCCTTCCTTTACGTTTCCCTTCACTTAGTTTCTTTGAAATTCTTGACCTTTTGTTCTTCCAAATCAATTTTGTTATTATTTTTTCTAACTCAGTAAAATAATTTTTTAGTAATTTAATTGGGATGGCATTGAATAAATAGGTTAGTTAGGTAAAATTGTCATTTTTATTATACTGGCTTTGCCTACCCACAAACAATGAATATTTCTCCAATTATTTAAATATATAAAGAGTGTTTTATATGTATGTTCATGTAGTTCCTATGTCTCTTTAGGCAAATGTACTCAGGTATTTTATACTGTCTAGTTATTTTAAATGATCTAAAACAATATTGAATAATATTGGTGATACACAGTGTAGTTTCCCTATTTTTCTCTTTTAATTAAATCTATTTTAGCTTTAACTTTGTCTGAGATCATGATTGCTAGCCCTGGTTTTTTTACATAATAAATTCTGCTCTAGCCCTTTATTTTAATTCTGTGTATATCTCTTATTTTTATTGTGTTTCCTGAAAGCAACATATTGTTGAATTCAGATTTCTAATCCATTCTGCTATTGATTTCTGTTTTATGGGCAAATTCATCCCATTCACATTCAAAGTTATAACTACTTGTTGCATATTTCCCTACATTCCCTTTTTTCTTCTTAATATTTGAATAACTGCAAATTTCAGGAAGTCACAGCTTTTCTGGGCCACGTTTTCTTCATGTCTGAAATAAAAGGATTGAACTAGATGATTTTTAAGGTCCTGTCCAGATAACTTCTGTTTGGTCTCTCTCTTTTAAACTCTCTTCTCCTTGACTACATTTTGTGTCCTGGCTGGAGGCAGCTTGGTGGATAGAGCGCTGAACTTGAATTCCAGAAGACTCGGGTTCAGGGCATGCCTGGTGTATGACTTAGGCAAGTCTCATCTCTGAGGCCTAGAATCCTGATTCCATGCCTCCTCATTCTGGGTAGTCTGCTTCTCCTCAGGTTGTCTAAGATTGAATTGGCTTTTTGCCTGCTGTATCCCGCTGTTAATATTTATTCAGCATGTGATCATCTGAATTCCTGCTCTTCATCATGGTCTGCAGAAGCTCATCGTCCTACAAGATCACACTAGTTCTATAACTCACACCTCCTCAGTGCCTCCTGCCCCTGGGGCCATCTCATCGGTTCCCACCTGGCTGCACTATGGACTTCATCATGCCCCAATGCCAGGTACTTCCCCACTGCCTTTCACTTTTTTTAAAAAAATGTGTTGTTTCCCCATTGCAGGGACTGTTGTATGCTTTTCTTTGTATTCCCAGCACTTAGCACAGTGCCTGGCACCTGATAGGTACTTAATAAATGTTTATTGACTGACTGACCTTTTTCACCTGACTTGCTATTTATCTAGTTTTATCTCCTTTACTCAAAGTATCAAAGATCACAGGATATGAAAAATTGCAAAATTATTAAAACAGGAAATCTCTGTATTCAATTCAATTCAGTAAACGTTTATTAAGCATCTGCTATGTGCTGGACATTGTGCTAAAAACACTGGGGATACAAATGAGGAAAAGACAGATAGTCCGTCAAGGAGCTTATAGTCTAATGGAGGAAGAAAACACAAAAGGAAGCTGGAGAGATGTGGGGGAAGGGGTATGATGTTTGGTGGAGAAGAAACCAAGCAATGGAAAATGGAGAATTCTCTGGAAAGTTCTAATCTGAGCCCTGTATAAAGGAAGATGTTGGGAGAAGTTATTGCCCAACCCTCCAACCCTTCAATCAGGAATACTAATGTTTCAGTACTATTAATAGAATAATATATTCTAGTCCATTGGCATGGAAGTAATCACTCTTGATTTTATAGCTGGTAGTGTAAGGTAATGGTCCTTAGTACCATTATAGATGGTCTCTCGAGTAGACTTTCCTCTAGTACAAATGCTTAAATTCTACATCCCTGTGCTTGAAACTTTAATATTCTGCTTATTTACTACATTTCTCTGAGTTTTTTACACTCACTGTCGCGTCTTATACAATGAATAATTGTGTAATAATAGTAATGGATATTCCTCATACTCCTATGCCATAGTTTGTTCAGCCATTCCCCAATAGATAAGCATCAACTTTGTTTCCAGTTTTTTTCCTGCCACAAGATATGCTGCTCTGAATATTTTGGTATACACTTGAAATATCTTTCTGTCTTTGGCTGCCTTAGAATGTCTGTCTAGTATTGGAATTCCGGGGCTAAGGGATATGAATAGTTTGGCGGTGTTCCTCACATAATTCCAATTTATTTTCTAGTTGGGTTGGACTAATTCACAAAGTCACCAGTAGTATTATGGTCTACCTACATTCCATTAGGCCCTCCAACATTCATTAATTTCTTTAATTCACTTAACAAGCGTATAGTAGGTGCTTACTGTGTGAGAAGCACTTGGGCTACAAATGTAACACTATGTGACAATAATTAGCTCATTTTAAGTCTGGAGAGAAGCAATTAATGACTCCTAAGGTCCACATGGTTTCCCCAGCTATAGGAAGTTTATTTTATTTTATTTTATCTTATGTTTTTAAAGGAAGTTTATTTTAGACAAAAAATTATGAGTTCAGTCTCAGTCACTTTAAGCCCCCAGTTAGGAACATTCCTAACATTTAGGCAGAGGTTCTGCTCTCTAAATAACTTTGCATTTATATGTTTCTCTAATTAACCTTTGGCCTCTTTGTAGTTCAGGAAAAATTCAGTTTATTGGAAACATTTGAGTGATGAAATAAAACAGCAGATTATATTTAAGTGTCTATAGCTTGGGAGGGGAAGTTGGGGAAAGAACTGATCTTTTCTCAGTATTTCCCTGACCCAAGTCACCTCTGCTTTGAGAGGCTTGTAGAGTTTAGAGCTGATGACCTTCTTCAGTATTTCTCTTCTCTACCATAACTCAGTTTTTCTACCTTTGCTTCTCAGAGGTGTGCTGGAACAACCATGCTTGCTTTGATTTCTTCTTTTGCAGACTCTCAGAATCTCTTTCTAGTTCTAATAGTTTCTCTCTGAAAGATACTTTTTGCCTTATAGAATGGGTGTCTAAAACTATGGTGATGTAAGAAACAGAAAATATCAATAAAAACTTTTATTTATAGCATGATCTACTTGTGATGAAGTCATGTTGGCTATTTTTGGTTCTCTGCTAGATATTTACTGATCATTCTTTTAAGAATAGATTCTAGAATTTTGGCAGGAATCTATCGTTGGCTAATAGTTTACAGACTCCATTGTTTTCCCTTTTTTGAAAGTTGGAAAAACCGTTGTGCTTTTCCAGTTCCATGGCACCTTTCCATTCTCTATAAATCTTTTAAAATATATTCTATTGATAGCTGTCTTTATGTTACAGATTTGTTTTCCAGATTGGAGCTCCTTCGTGAGAAAAAAAAATTAAGAAAAAATGTATTATATATGGAGTGTAAACCTTTCACAGAGTTTGTTCTAAGAAAGAGACAAACAAATTAGGCTGTTTGTCCATGTTTTAATTTCTCTCACAAGCTGGCGACATACATTGCATGGGAGTTACAGTCCAGAACTGGCTCCATTTGGAAGTTGGGATGCCCAGTTTATATACCTTTTCAACAAGGGCTGATATCATCCTACTGTCATTCTCCCTCCTCACAGAGGAAACACCTGTTCTATCAGACCACCCTCCAGCCATACCAGACTACTCTCAACTCTGGGCTATCTAGGCAGAAGAATCTGTCTCCACCCAAGCTTGATCAGCTCCCAATGCAATCTCACCATCAGTAATATCCTTCTGAAGAACTTTGGAGAAGGGGGCTGGGGTAGAGCTCCGAGTCTCCAAAATAAAAATATTTTTTCACAAGACCGTGTCTAACAATATAGACAATAGTCTCTCTTGGTATTGTAGTAGTTCCCTTCACCTTTGTGGCGAGAGATCAGATAGGCCTTATTATCTCTAATGAGGGATCTTTCTTACTTTTTACATTATTTAGAGCTTCACTTTCTCTTTGTGATAATTTGTATTCTTGTAGTTATTGTGTGCATTATGTAGTTTCTCACACAAATTCTTTTGGTTCCATTTATTTTACTATGCATGTCTTTATACAAATCTTCCTATGTTTCTCTAAGGTTCTCTTCTTTGTCATGTGTTATTGCACAATAACCTTTTATTACAGTTGTAGAGCATAGTTTGGTTTTTCTGACCATCGTGCTTCTCCAGTTCTTTGCTATTACATAAAGTACTCCAATTAACATTTTTGCATATATTGGACTTTTATTTCTGTCTTCTGGGTCATATACTGGGGTATATATCCCATAATGGGATTGCTGGGTCAAAGGATATGGAAATTTGAGTTCCTTTTCTTGTAAAATTTGAAATTGAAATCCCGAATGGTTAAGACACATCACAGTGCCACCAACTGGGCGCTGAATGACCTGTCTTTCACAGCTCCTCCAACTTTGACTATTTCCATTGTTTGGCATCTTTGTTAATTTTTTTTTATATGAGGTATTGAGACAGATTTTTCATTTTGTATTTCTTTTGCTAGAAGTTATTTGGATCATGTTTTCATGTGGTTATTTGTAGTTTGAAATTCTTTTGAAAACTGGTGGCATCTTTTGGTTAGTTTTCTATTGTACAATGACTATTGATGTTATGTAGTTATATCAACTTTCTGTATGTTTTGGAAATCGTACTATTTCAGGTTTTTTATTTTTTTATTTAAAAAATTTTTTTATATTTCAATTTTTAAAGATCATATGCAATAGCTCAGTAATTACAGTGGCATATTCTTTCAGTACCCTGCCTTATCAAAGAGAAGTAGGTACTTTCTTTGTACTTCTCTGGAGTTTCTGTTCCCTACTAGCCATTTTTGGTATTTCTTTTCCTCTCTGGTCACAATGCTTTCTGCAAATATTTCAGCAAATTGATTCCTCACATAGCCTGTCAAGGAGAAGAATGGAAACATTTTTCTTAATTCAGCAAAGGAAAGATTGAATTGTAGAGAGCTCTGCAAGCAGCACATAGTGGGAAATTGTGTGAATTCAATCTGTATTTCCTAATTTCTCTTTTTGGAAATGTGACCTTTAGAACCTACTAGGGGCAGAGGGAAAAAGTTGCAGTCTCTGGTACTAATATTCATCGTCCTTCTTTCTGATTCTATGGAAAATTGGGTTTGTTCTTGGGTTGATTTGACTTCTTCCTCTGTAAAGAACCAAGGAACTCATAGCCAGATTGTGTGCAGGAATTCTACCTTGCTGAGTATAACACTACTGGGCAGTGTTAGTCTCCTATTTCACTTCTTTCTCTCCCTCCCATTCTAGCTTCTCAAGACTCTGGCTTTCCCTAAGAAGACAGAGTTGAGGTGGAGGAGACAATGACTTCTAGGCTCATCAGAGCTGGATCCCAGGTGAGTTATTATTTTGTCCCTCTCCTGAGATTCCATTTAATTCCTAAAAGTGTGATTATATTTCTTCCCTCATTCCTCAGGAATCTGAATACCAGTTCTCTCTTGAAAACTCCTAGCTTGTCTTGTGGGTGTTGTAGTGTTCCTAGAGTTCACAGATGTTTGGAATCGGAAGATATCTTAGGGCTCCATGGTTCAGCCCTCTAATGTGATCCATGATATAGCTGAGATACAGAGAGGGGACCTGTCTCACTTAAGCTCCAGTCTATTCCCAGATCTTTTCATTTCTCTCTTCCCAACATCTCTTATTGCAAAGTCTCTTCTCCACTCATACAGCCACCACTTTCTTCAGGACCTCATCTCTCATCTGCACTATTACATCGTTGTTCTTTTTTTTAATTAAATTTTTTTCAATTTTCAAACATTTTTTCTCCTTCTTACCTACCCCAAACTGCCCTATTCCATGCCTCTCCCAAGCCACCTCTATAGACTCCTGTGAACCCCAGGATCAACGGTAAAGTCCCTTTGTGTGTAATTTAAAGCTCTTCACAATACGGTCCCTTCTTTCCTTTCTAGTCTTTTTATACTTTTCTCCCACCCACATACTCACATATTCTATGATGTAGCTATACGGGTCTACTTACTCTTCCTTGCAAATCTCCCATCTCCATGTCTTTTCATTGACTTTCTCCTTTACCTGGAATGTGCTGCCTCTTCAAATCTCTGGTTTCGTTCAAGGTTCAGCTCAAACAATGTCTTCTGCAGGAGGCCTTTCCTGGTGCCCCAAGGGGTTGGACCAGAGACTCCCCTTCTAAGATTCCCAACTTTCTATTCTGAATGTATTTTACTATATACCTATTTATTTACGTGGTGTCTCCTTCATTAGAATGTGAGTTCCTTGAGAACAGGGACAATTTTTGCCTTTCTTTGTACCCCTGGTACCAGCTTAGCAAAGTGCCAGCCAGTAAACACTTAGTGAATACAGGCTGGCTGGCTGCAGTTCTTTGGGCAGGGCCATTTGGACCTGGGTGTGGAAGACACTGGTGCATTTCATTAGTGCCTTAAAACAATTCAAGACCACATCATCTTCAGTTTTAGGTCGGGGAATTGGCAGACCATTAACATTTTATGTGAAATGTATTCAGTTCTCTTTCTAATGGCAGATGCTGTACTCACTGAAGCCTTTGGGTAAAACATTTGAGCATTTAACTTTGGTCTCAGGGCAAATTGGCTGTTGTGTTTAAATTCTGCTCTGTCTTTTTGCCACTCCCCTAGACTCAGGGTAATATGAGCTGTGAAGATCTTGGACCTACAGTGCCTTGAAAGTTTCTTGTACAGTTTGTCCTGTAAAGTGGGTACCCTTGTCACACTGTTTGGACAAAAAGATACCAAATTAAAGAATGAATTCTTTCAAGAGTCCTTTAATGCCTTTGATGGTATCTGCTTTTATAGGAATGGGCTTCTAAGCTTGCTGAATACATACGTACACGCAGCTATATGTGAATAAATACAGTATATTCATAAAGGTTCCCACAGTGAGAGTGAGTTATCCTTTTTGCTCTTATAGGCATTCTCACACTATGGGCCTGGCAAATAGGACTGCCTCTACAATGCTGTTGGGCAACTAGGAAAACATTTGAGGCAAGCTAAAATTTTTTTCTTTATCTTCTCTCCCCTAACACCCCATCCTTTGGCCCCCTTTGCTCATGTGTGTTATACCTTATGCATGAGGACGAGAGATGGGAGTAAGGCATTGGGGTAGAGTCATTCATTGTAGATGTTCAGAGTATAAAATATAGTCTGCTAGTCTCCAAGGATATTTCTCTGTTTCAGTAGCCTGATCTTGAAGGAGAGCAACAGCTTCATGAGGGGTTTAGAGGAGCCTGACCCTTAGGGAGGGAAATAAGTGAAAGGCATGGCCTGTGGCACAGGAAAGTCCACCCCCTAACTGATGAGCTCGTCTTGTGGAGTTGGCTAGGTTGCATATCTCTACAAGATAGTAGTGGACTCTTACACTCCCATCACTGTGGATGAAGGGATGCATGCAGACTGTATTGGTCAGAGGCCTTTACTATAAAAGGAGGAGGAATATTGCTGTGACAACATGAAAGTTCTTTTAGGTCTGGGTCTGAAACTTACAGACTGAAACTTTGTATGTAGTGGCAAGACTCCTTCACTAAGATCCAAGGTAAAGTTCAGAGATCTTTTTGGAACATCTGATTTTTGCACATTTGTCTAAATGCTTTTGCCAGGTTCAGAGTCAGATGATAATTGGTAAGTCGAGTTAGATTTACAGTCTCCAGACATTCCTACTCACAGTGTTAAGTTCCAGTGCTTTCAAATTATTTTTCAGTTTACATCAAGACCAGCGTGTCTTAAGATTTCTTTATAGATGTAGCATGGATTCAGATTTCTGTGGGGCAAACCCCCATATTAATTATTTAAATATGGTATAGACAACTTGGATCACATTTTGATGACATTTTATAACTTTCTAGTTCTTGTGAACTGGATTATTTTCAGGCTACATGCTTTGGATTCTTAAAGCAACCCTGCCTACTCAAAAGAAGGGAAAGTTAAAAGAGTTAAAAGATGAAGTATCAAACAAACTCTTTAATAAATATCTGTAAAGCACTCTTTTCCTATCTGATGGGAAGAAAAGAATAGAACACAGATACCTTTTGGTGTTTAGTGTAGAGAAACTGATACATATGCATACATACATAGTACATGCATACATACATATACATTTTAGAAAATCCATGCAATCTTTTTACTTAGATAATCTGAAGTTTTAAAGTTCAAGCTCAATTTTATAACTACCATATTCAGAGTACTTCCAAATATCCGTTGAATAAAAATGTGTATGTATACACACAGAGAAGTTTCTGATTTAATTTTAATTTTTTATTTAAAATTAACAATTTAAATTGTATTTTTAATCTAAAAGTTCTTGAAAATGTTTCAGCCACCTGGTCATATTAGAGAAAGTAAGTCACATCTGCGCTTTCTGCTTTTGGAAGCCACTAGTTTTGGATCAAAATTATTTAATTCCACTAACTGCTTTTTAGCTTCTGATTTACATATATTATGGTTTTTTCCTAGTGCCTTGAATTGTGCTATATCATTCTTCTTCTTTTCACTTCTTACCAAAACCATCAAATTTTTGATATGCCAGGGTATACATATTTAAATACTTACACAATCATTAGCACGAGGCAGTTTTGTCCCTCAGAAAAATCATAACTTTTATTATACATCATTCATAGGACTCAGGTTCAAGAGGATCCAGCCTCTTAATATTACATAGGCATCCTATTAGGTATTGTGTCTAGGTATTATCAGCATAGCTTTGTAACCCTTTCTAAAATTATGCTTGAAATAAATAAATATAGCACTCATATAATAATTATAAATAATTTAAGAGATCGAATTTAAAACTGAACCTCATTGGTATCACTAAATGTTGGTGGGATGAGATCCATGACTGGAATATAGCTATGGAAGGGTTTTCCTTATTCAGAAGTAATAGGAAGCTTTAGAATAGTGGGAGTGAGGTGGGGGAAGTCTAGCATTATATATTAAAAGAAGATATACACATTAAGAAATATAGGAACCATAAACATGGCAGAGAATATTTGGGTAAACCTCAATTTAGAAAGGAAGAAATGGGATATTGTTATCAGTAGATGTCACATATTGTCTCAACTAAGGATTCTTAACTTTTTTTGTGTGTCACGTCCCCCTTTGGCAGTCTGGTGAAGCCGATGGTCCCTTTCTCATGTTTTTAAATGCATAAAATAAAATACATAGGATTACAAAAGAAACCAATTATATTGAAATAGAGTTGTAAAATATTAAAAGATCCAAGATCACAGACCCTCTGAAATCCACCCATGGACCTTTTTAGGGTCTGTGGAACCAAAGTTAAGAACTAAACTAGACAGAGAAAAGAACTTAATGAGGATTTGGAAGAGAGAGATCAAAAACTTGATACACAGGCAAGGCAAGATGGGATGGTAAAGGACTTGAACTATCTGTTCCTCTGCTCTCTGAGCCCAAAACAGAGTAGTTAATAATTTCTTGACAATTTAATCTTTCACAAGATAATGGAATCCAAAAATTATGTTATGGACCCATTTGTCACTGATGGAGAATTAATGGTTGCTAATGTGAAAATGATGAGAACCCTGGTGGAAATTGACTGCTCTACTGTGGAATTTATGATAAAGATGGAGAGGAAAGCAGGAAATAGGCTGCCATCTACCTAAGATTTTTATAGAATAGTTTTCAAAAGTTGAAAGAAAATATTGTTAAAAGCTCATGAATTATAATTTAGGGGAGAGCTTTCCCAGGAAGAGTGGGAAACTTTCAACAATGAAAATCTTGAAATCACAAAAAGAAGAGGAAAAATGAGAATTGTCTGAAGATACCAACTGAAGTATACAGGGAAATATACTGACCAACTTCAGTCCTAAATAAAGACATGTAAAGGAGATGAAAACAAGAGAGTGATTGGTGTGATATAGCTAATGAGGAAGGAGTTTGATTATTTCTTGGTTATTTAGTTTTTCTTTTCAGTTATTATGAAATTGATAATCAACATAAAGCATGAACATTTCCATATAAAAATAATAGAAAGAGACGATTGTATGTGAAAATAAGAATTTTTATTATGTACAACTTTTTTTAAAGTATGTATTCAATTTAACACAGTAGTTTCAATATATCCCTGCTTGTCTATAGTCCCTTCTGAGCTGTCTCTTGCTTTCTTTTTTTATTTTAAAAAATGTTGCATTGCCATTCTTGTGTTAACTAATAACAGATAGCTTTTATGATACTGCCAAATCCCTATACTTCCCACTTTTTTGTTCATTATTTCCCTTAAGATTCTTGACCATTTTGTTCCTTCAGATGGATTTTTTCTGGCTATATAAAGTAATAATATTACTATAAAGTAGTAGTATAATTTTGAAGTTCATGTTTTATTTAGGATTTAGTGTGAGAAATTATTTTAGCTTGACTTTGAGCAACTAAATACAATTATTTATGATGCACAGAGTACAATGTGAGGTGAGGGAAATGGCAAGTAGGTACTCAGGAACTACTTATGTGGAATACGAAACCTTTAATGTTATGAGAACTGCTTCCTTTCTGTTTTTACCAATTTTTGTCTCCCTCATGTTTCATATGAACAGTGATACCTGAATGAGCAAGAACTTTTTTGATCTTTCAGAAATTGCTGACGTTCCAAGACGTGGCAGTAGACTTCACCTGGGAGGAATGGGGACTGCTAGAGCCAGCTCAGAAGGACCTGTTCAGGGATGTGATGCTGGAGAACTATGAGCATTTTGTCTCCCTAGGTAAGGAAAGCTTCTTTTTCCTGAATCATCTGGCCATTGGGATATTGTTGTATTCTCACTTTCTAAAGAAAAGCCTGAAATACTTTGTTGAGTTTTGACTTGGTGTGCAGGGATGTTTTCATGAATGTGTGCATTGTAGAAAGATTCAAAAATTCCAAGCCACAGCTTTACTGTGTTGTTTCTGAGGCTACAATTTATCTAGTGTCTGTTCATATCAAAGTCAATGACTCTCCACTGGACTCTTATTATAGCTACATGAGGAAAAACATGAAAAGAAGAGAGTCTCAAGAATGATATATTTCCTTTGAGTCTTAATAAATCTGTTTCATCCATTACCCTTCCTTAATTGTACTATGAAAAGAATCCATCAGAGATTTTTCCTAGAGTGCCCTCTGTTCTCCAAAGAAAAGCAAGTTAAAGTTGAATTCTGAGATGTTTTTCTGTTCTCAGTACTTTTCCAACTATTTCCTCGTGTTTAGGGCTTCCAGATTCCAAAGCAGATGTGATCCCCCAGTTGGAGAGAAGAGAAACATCAGGGCTGCCAGATGGAGAAGTCCCAAGAAGCCCTTACCTAGGTGAGTGGGGAAAAAAACAAAATAACACCCCAAAAACCCAAGCAGGTGGATATGATTGCAAGCAGTATCTCAGCTGATCACTAAGGATGCATTATCTTTTTTTAAAATAAAATTTAACTTTTTTAATTGGCAAAAACCTGCCCGTTCCTCACTTTCCAATTGAGAATGAATGAATATATGCAAACACACACACATCTATTTCTCATTTTAGTCTCAGAGTCTTTTACCTCTCTCTGAAGAAGTGGGTAGCATGTTTCATCATTAGTCTTTTGGAATTATGGTTAGTCATTGTGCTGATCAGAGTTCCTAAGTCTTGAAAAGTTGTTTGTCTTTAAAATATTATTGTCATTGTATAAATTGTTCTCCTGGTTCTGTTCACTTATCACTTCCATAGATCATAACTTGTTCAATCATTCCCCAATTTATGAGCACATTCTCAAATTCCCATTCTTTGCCCCCTCAAAAAAAAGCTATAAATAGCCTTAATTAGAGTTTCTTTTACTTAGGACTAATCGTTTTCTTAATTTACCCTCCCTCTGATTCCCTCTTCTCCCCTTTCCCTTCTCTTTCTCTGTTGAGTAAAATGTATTTCTTTACTCAACTCTGCATGTGTGTTCTTTTCTCCTTTGACCAGTTTACATGTGAATGAAGTTCAAGTGTCTGCCACTCCTTCTTGCCCCTTCCTCCTTGTTGGTATAGATGACTGCTTGTATATCCTGATTAGATCAGTTTCCCTAATCTTCTTTTCCCTCTCTCACCCCTCACTGAGTATATTCCTCTTTCCCTCCTTTTTCAATCATCAGGACATAACAGAACTACTCCCAGACTTTCTATCCAATTAGACTTTTTGTATGACCCCCTGATGATGTTAGGGTTCAAAGGAGACATATGTATCATCTCCCTATAGAAGAATGTAAACAGTTTATCCTTGTTTAGTCCCTCATTAGTATTCATTCAAGTTTACTTTTTTATGTTTTTCTTCAGTCCTGTGTTTGAACTTCAAAGTTTCTATGATGCTCTCATCTTTTTATTAGAAATGCTTAGAAGGTCTCTATTTCATTAAAACTCCATTTTTCTCCCCCATAAGATTATATTTAGTTTTTCTGGGTAAGTTATTCTTGGTTTGCCTTCTGGAATATTGTATTCATTCAGCCACCATTTATTCAGTGCCCACTATCTGCCAGGCACTGTTCTAAGAGCTAGGAATATAAAGAGAGGCAAAAGACAGTCCCTGCCCTAGAGGAGTTTGCAATATAATGAGGGAGACAACATGAAAACAACTATGTATAAGCAAGCTATTTACAGAACAAATAGGAAATAATCAGTGGAAAGAAGGCACTAGAATTAAGAAGTATTGGGAAAGGCTTCCTATAGAAGATAGGATTTTAGCTGGAACTTGAAGGAAGCCAGGAAAGTGAAGAGGTGGAGATGAGAAGGGAGAACATTCCAAGCTCTCCTGTCCTTTATGGTAGTAGCTGCTAAATCATGGGTGATCCTGACTATGGCTCTTCAGTACTTGAATTTTTTTTTCCTGGCTTCTTGCAGAGTTTCTTCTTTGACCTGTAAATTCAGGATTTTGAATAGAATGCTCTTGAGAAGTGTTGGAGAAGTAGAACCATTGTCAGGAGAGTGATCAGGATTTTCAAAATATTGGAGACCATATAAATCATCCTTGAATTGGTTAAATGACCTTAGTTGTTTAGATTGAGAACAGGAAGACTGGAAAGGACATGGTAATTGTCTCCAAATATTTGAAGGACCATGATATGGAAGAGAAACTAAATTAATTCTGCTTTATCCAAAAGGAAGAACTAGGAACAATGAGTAGAAGTTGTGGAAAGGTGATCTTAGGCTTAGTATAAGGGAAAACTTCTTAGCATTTCAAGCTATCTGCAAGAGGAAGGGGGGGTGGTTTTCCGTCAGTGAAGACCTTTAAGCAGAAACCAAATGACCATTCATTAACCATAGAGAGCAGATATTTTCTACTGGCTTCCTTCCCCTCCCTCTTCATCCTAAGCAGGAGAAAAAAAAATTGTGATTACCAATTTAAATGTAATCAACATATAGAATATCAGTAGGTAATGAAGGCATATGTAGGGGAATCTTGTTAATGTACAGATGTACAAATTTTTGATTTGATGTGAAGAAAAATTTCCCAAGAATCAGAGTTGTCTAAAAGTGTGATAGGCTACGTAGGAGGTAGTGGGTTCCCCAGGTCTCTAAGTGAAAGCTCTCTAACTACTTGTCAGCTATGTTTTAGAGAAAATCCTTATTCATATGAGAGTCAGGATAGAAGTCTTCTCAAATCCCTGAGATTCTGTGACACTTTGTGATTTTCTTCCTTAACACTTGACTGTCTTGGTTCTCCAACATCTTGATTTCACCTCTGTCTTCTTTATTGTATCCTCTGTTTCCCAAGCCATTTCTTTCCAACTTTAGGAAGGTTCTGCCTTCATTTTTCTCCTTTTCTCTTTTCTTCAAATAGTGTATCCAGTCTTTTGGCTTTAATTATCCCTTCTCTTCTCACTTCTCCATTGGCAATCTCTTCAACTCTCATTGGTTCAGTTATCAGATATGTGAGGATGACTCCCCTATCTATGAATCTGTCCCTAATATCTCTCCTCATCTCCAGTCTTGCATCTCTACCTTCCTGCTTAGATGTGTGTTTCCACTTGGATACCCCATTGACATTTCAGACTCAGTACATCCAAAGCAGAGATCATGACTTCCTGAAAAGTTGCCTCTCCTCCCAAATTCTCTGTTTACACTGTGTTCATTACAATCCCTTCATTCACATTTGTAATCTGAGAGTTGTCCTTTACTCTCCTCTTTCCTGTAAGCCCTATCAGTTCCCTAATTAATCAGTTGGCCAGCCTAGTTGAGTGAATCCATCCATCTTCTTTACTCATGAATCCACTACCCTAGCTCAGGCCCTTGTCATCTCTGGCCTGGAATACAAGTAAATCCTCCTTTCTTTGTTTCCCTTCTTCCCTACCTCTTCCTGCAACAATAATCTTCCTAAACTTCCTAAGGCAAGTCTGATCTTCTTACTTTCCTACTCAGAAGTCTCCAGTCATGTCTTGTTCCTGCTAGGATAAAAGACAAGATCCTCATCTGGCATTTAGAGTCTTCCCTCAGTCCAGCTCTGACCTATTTTCCATCCTTATTTCACAATCTGTCGCTCCACACATTCTTCATTCCAGCCAAATGGCACAAACTCATCATTTGTTCTCCCCAGCTTCGACACATTTGCTCTGAAGGTACTGCCTACTCATCCCTGCCTCTAAGAATCTTCACCTTTCTTAAAGACTTGGCTGATATATTAATTCTATGATTCTTTCCCAAATTCTTCCTGGTTATTAATGTTTTTACTCTTCTCAAATTACCTTGTACTTACTTATCACTTTTTTATGTTCTGTCCCAGGCACATTGTTGGAACTTAATAAATTCTTGTCAGTTGATTGATTGATCCCTACTAAAGGCTTATAATCTCTTTCCTGAGCTCCTCAGCTGTTTCTGGTGTTGTTGATACTAACTGTGGTACCCAACTTTTTAGATTATAAATAAGCGGTTTCATTCCTCACATTCCCTTTCGAATTTAAAGCCATTTCAGTTAGATTTCCAAGTTTTTAGGAGAATACATAATTAGTATGCCTTCTTGAGTACACACAGTTCCTGGCCAAGATTCGATCATTACTTTATTTTAATCTGGTCCAGAGAAACAAATTATTTCTCGGATACCATCTTCTTAACTACACATTCAATTTCCCAAATTTTATTTGCCTTGGAACCTTTGCCTTTTATTGGCTTCACTAATGAGAACACCACCTGTACATATAAAGTCTTTGGTTCTTTGCTCTGGACTTTATAATCTCTAATAATGCTTTCTAGTTTCCTGCTGTAAATATCATTTGTCCCCATGTGGCTAAGTCAGAACTGAGTAGTAGTGATCGGCTCTTTCTTAGGAGTTTCCTAAGTATAAATAATTAGTGGTCCTTCTTCCCTTTCTCCTCTGTGTTCACAGTCTTCTATCCTACAGCCACATGACACAATTCTGCTGGACCACTCCATGTCTTTTTCTTTTTTGTTTTTATATTAAAAAACTTTCCCCCATTTTTTTCAGAAGGTCACTTCAGTGTCCCTCAACCAGAGTGACAGACATTAAGCCCCTTTACTTTCTCTTTCAACTAACCTTCATTTTGAGTATAAACATCAGTGATGGTGCAATTCATAATAGGTGACTAATAAATTTTTGTTGATTGATTGTGACGGAAAGACAAGCATGATTCTCTGTAAGTGTGTTACTTTCCACCCTTGCTGGAGTGTGATGATCAGCCCTTACTCCTCTCTCATTCGTGATAATCTTGTGGCCAGCTCCTCACTACTTAGGCCGGTTTCTTCTTCACCAGTCCTTGATAGGATTGCCTGAAGGAATCTGTACTTATTTATACTGGTCTTCGTGCCTTTCCTCTAGAAGTGACTCTAGGTAGTTCAGCTACCATTGAATGTTGATTCACAGCTTCCTGCTCATGGCCACTATCAGGCCTCTGAATACACAATTTGTCATGCTCTCTCTATCAGAACCAAATGGAAAATTCTAATTGTGGTCTGGTTAGAGCAGAGTTCGACTAAGACTGTTATCTTCTGTGATCTCAACACTATACATCTTTTATCATAGCCTAAAATTGTTTTATCATATTATATTTATATAATGTGTAATTACATTATACATTACATAATTATATTATTTTTAGTGGCCACAATATACTGTTGATTTTTTTAAATTAAAACATAATTTTATTGCTGAATTTTGTTTTTCAACATTACCAAAAATTTCCATAGCATCTCTCCCCTGTCAGAGAGCCATTTCATAGAGCAAATAATTTCAAAGACAAACAAAAAAAGAAAAAAATCCTAAAAACAAATTAATATGCTTAGAAAGTCTGAAAAAATGTGCAATATACCGCATTTGTAGACCTCCCATTTCTGCAAAAGCAGGGATGGAGCTGTCTTCTGATATCTCTTCTTTGGAAACGTGTTTGTTCTTTGTAATTTTGCAATACTTCTGATTTTTTTGTAGTTCTGTTTACATTGTAGTCATTGTGAGTATTGTTTTCTTTGCTTACTGACTTCATTCTGCGTCAGTTCATACTGAGCTATGCATTCCTTTCTATACTCATCATATTCAATCATTTCTTATGGCAATGATATATAATATTCCATTACATTCATGTACCACAATTTGATTAGCAATTCCCCAATTGATAAATTTTTTACTTTGTTTCCTGCTCTTTACTATCACAAAAAGTGCTACTTTGTATCTCACATATCTTTAGATCATCATCACAATTGATGAATACTTTTCTGCTTTCATCAAGCTGTTGATAAAATTTTTTGAACAGATTAAGTATATTTCTTTGAGGCTACAATGTAATGCAAATGGACAAAATCCTTTATCCAAGACTTTGTCAGGAATATTTTTTAGTTAGCTCCAAAGTCAAGTAAGCTGGACTACTAAACAGACCACATTTCTTCATCTTATGGAGAAAAATTTATTTAAATATTTTTTCAGATAGATTTCTGTGTATATCTACATCCCTCTTATGGCTTATTAATGAAGGATATGAGGTTTTTTTTTGCCTGATCTATTCCTATTGAATCAATGGTAGGTTTTAAGGATTGACACTTTTCTAAATGTTCACAAACCTTATATTTGATAATAGGTAGCCTAATTTTACCAGGGACTTTAGGTATAGAACTCTATATTTTCCAGAATTAACTTGTTTTTCTATTGTTATAATTTGGACACTTACGAAATTCTGGGCTACTGGATGCTGTGTTACTGTCTCCTTACATATCTTGGGCTTCAGTTCTTTTTAAATGAATTTGTTCTACTTGTTCCATAGTGATCATAATTATCATTGATGAAATAGACTGATTCTAGAATCTTGTATAATGAGATTTCCTTTCAGCACGGAGAGAATTGAGTTGACATTGAATACTGATACTTTTTTTCCTTAGATTTTTTTCATGAATGTAATACATTTGGAAGAAAATGTAGCCTGGGCTCTATCCTTATTCCACAACAGAGAATTTCTATTGGAAAAGATTTCCTTAACTATGATACACTTGGAAAAAGTTTCAAGAAATTTTCAGACCTAATTAAACATGATAATAAAAAAATCTCTTTAAGGGAGAAACTTTGTAAATATAATAAATCCAAGAAGACTTTCATTTACCACTCAAAACAAATTCATTATCACAGAATATGCACTCAAGAAAAATACCCTAAACATGAGAAATTTAGCAAAGTCTCCAGGAGCAATTCATGCCTTACAGTACATCAAAGAATTCATGCTAAAGAGAAACCATTTGAGTGTAACGAATGTGGAAAAGTGTTCAGCAATAATCAAAACCTATCTCGACATCAGAGAATTCATACTGGAGAAAAACCATTTGAATGCAGTGAATGTGGAAAAGCTTTCAGCAGTAACCAATGCCTAATTGAACATCAAACAATTCATACTGGAGAGAAACCCTACAAATGTAATGAATGTGAGAAAGCCTTTAGTTGTAAGGGTAACCTTTATGTACATAAGAGAATTCACAGTGGGGAGAAACCCTACATATGTAATGAATGTGGGAAAGCCTTCAACCAGCAGGGACATCTTAAAATACATAAAATAATTCATACTGGAAAGAAGCCCTTTGAATGTAATATATGTGGGAAGGCTTTCAGCAATAAACAATACCTGGGCCAACATCGAAAAATTCATACTGGAGAGACTCCCTATAAATGTAGTGAATGTGGGAAAATCTTTTGCCACAATTCACACCTTAATAGACATAAGATAATTCATACTAGAGAAAAACCATTTGAATGTAATGAATGTGGGAAAGGCTTCAGGCAGAGCTCATCCCTTATGCAACATCAAAGAATTCATACTGGAGAGAAACCTTACAAATGTAATGAGTGTGGGAAAGCCTTCCGGCAGAAGGGACATCTTGAGACACATAACATGATTCATACAGGTGAGAAACTCTTTGAATGTCATGAATGTGGAAAAGCTTTCAGCAGTAATAATTATCTATTTCAACATCAAAGAATCCACACTGGAGAGAAACCCTATAAATGTCGTGAATGTGGGAAAGCTTTCTGCACTAATTCACGCCTTAAAGCACATAAGGTAATTCATCCTGGAGAGAGACCCTTTGAATGTCATGAATGTGGGAAAGGCTTCAGGTTCAGCTCAGGTCTTACACAACATAAGAGAAGTCATACTGGAGAGAAACCTTATAAATGCAATGAATGTGGGAAAGGCTTCAAGCAGAGCTCATACCTTATGCAACATGAGAGAATTCATACTGGAGAGAAACCCTATGAATGTAATGAATGTGGGAAAGCATTTAGCAGGAAGGGAAATCTTAATACACATGAGAGAATTCATACTGGAGTGAAACCATATTCATGTAATCAATGTGGGAAAGCCTTCAGGCATAAGGGAAACCTTAATACACATAAAAAAATTTATACTGAAGAGAAAACCTTTGAATGCAATGAAGGTGGAAGAAACTAATTAGAGGTCAAACTTGACAACATATGAAAAAAATTCAGAGTACATAGAACTCCTTTAGAGATAAGGAATTTGGGAAAATTATCTTGTGAAACTCAACTTTTAAGAAACATGAAATTCAATTCATACTAGCAGAATTCTGATGATAATAAGTGTGGGAAAGCCTTTAGCTGGAAAGGAAACCTTAAACTATACAAGAAAACATTCTTGAGGAGAAACCTTTTGTTGTAATGAATGTGGGAAAGCTTTCAAATGGTGTGGAAACATTAGGAAACACGGTATCATCCAGTAAAGAAATACTTTTAATGTAAGGAATATGTAAGAAGCTTCATGAGAAGGCAGAACTCATTATGCATCAGAGCTTTAATAATGACTATAATTATTTCATTTTGACAAATGTGAGCAAACTTTCAAAACCTTAAGTACCATAAAAGACTTTGTATTGGAGAAAAACCCTTTGAATCTAATAAATATGGGAAAGCCTTTAGGATGAGGCAAATCTTTGCTAACAATAAAAACATGCTCAGATGTAGAGAATTTAAAAACCATATCCAGGAATGTCTTCAGCAAGAAGAGAAAGAAATTAAGAACATCATGTGATAATTTATACTGGTAAGAATATCCATAAGTGTAATGAAATGATAAATGTATTTCAAACTCATCAGAGACTTTGTCCTGGAGGTTGACTGAACAAGATAAACTAATAGAAAAGTTTCAGAAAATTTTCCAGAATTTCAGTTTCAGAGTTTGAAGGGGCTTCTGAAGCCATCTAATTCAACTTTATCTAAAAAAAGAATCCCTTTCACTATATACAACAAATATCCAATCATTTTAAAGTATCTCTAATGGTGTGTGTATGTGTGTGTGTACGTGCACACGTACATGCATGCGCGTGTTGGAGGAGAGATACTATTGGATCCCCTCCCCACAAATAATTTCTTCCACTTTTAGAGAACATCAATAATTAGGAAGTTTTTTCTTACATTAAACTTCCATTGCTCTTGGTTATACCCTTTGGGATCAAACAGAGTAAGTATAATCCTTCTTTACCATAACAGCCCTTCAGGTCCAATATGCTGTTTCTTAGACTCGTCCTCATATGAAATAAACTGTAGGTCCTTGTTGTCATCCCTCATTTCCCTCCTCTAGACACTGTTTGGCTCATCAATGTGTCTTTTCCAAAATGTGCCTACAAATGAACATTTCTAGATGTGTTCTGGCCTGGGCACAGCACAGCAAGCATATTACCTGCCTTATGCAGCCAAAGTTTGAATTTGCTTTTTTTTTTTTTCTTTTTGGCTATTCTTTGAGCTGGCAAACCCTCAAAATTTCCAGATCTTTTTTAGATGAACTATTGTCTAACCATATTTCCCTTACCTTGTACAGTTGATATTCTGAATCCAAGTGTAAAACGTTTACCACTATTAAATTTCAGTTGATTCCAGTGAGTGATCTGGCCTGTCAAGTCCTTTTTGAATTATGTCTTTGTAATCCACTGTTTTAGCTATTTCTCCCAAGTTTGTGTCATTTGCAGATCTAGTAAATATGTAAATTTTGCCTTTATCAAAGTCATTAATAAAAATGTTAAGCAGGACAAGGCATAGCACAAGTCTCTGAGACACTCAACTGGAGACACTCAACTGATCATCAACTGATAATGAACCTGTTAATATAAAATCAAAATCAACTACTGGAAAGGTCAAGGTGTCAGATTTTGTCGATTGCTGCAATGTTTTTTATCTTGAAAGAAAAATAGCTCTGCTTGAGGCTTGCACTGAAAAACCTCACAACCTAGCCCCATTCTACCTTTCCAGCCTTCTTATACGTGGCTTCCCTTTATTCTGTGGTCTGCTTGCTGTCCTCACAAACAACACTCCATCTTCCTTCTCTGTGCATTGCACTAGAATGCTGTCCTTCCTCACCTCCTTCTCTTGGCATCCCTCGTTTTCTTTAAGATTAAGATCAAGTGGTGGCTTCTATATGAAATCTTTCTTGGTCTCACCATCCCTACTTCCTTCTTTCCAGCTATTAGTCCCTTTTCCTACAAGGTTACTGTATGTCTGCTTTATTTGTGTTTATGCATACACATACCTATATCATACAAACACACCCATGGGAGCACTGTATATACATACATATATGTATATATACACATATGTGATATCTATGTATGTTAGTTCCTTGAGGAGGGCAGGGATTGGCTTTTTTTTTTTTTGGTGAGGCATTTGGGGTTAAGTGACTTGCCCAAAGTCAACACAGCTAGGAATTATGTGTCTGAGGCTGGATTTGAACTCAGATCCTCCTGACTCCAGGGCTGGTGCTCTATCCCCTGTGGCACCTTGCTGCCCCATAGCTTTTTGTTGTTGTCTATATTCACAGCTCACAGGGCAGTGCCTCACACCTATTAGGTACTTAAATTCTTGTTTGATTAGGGAAATTAATTTAAAAAACTTTTCTGGTGACATGCAGCTCACAGTCAGGGTTTGGGAATGAGGTTAAGGGATGTGCCACATGCACAAATAATTGTAATGAGAGGCATAGGCATTATGTTATACCTAAAGGATATAACTAATAGGCAGTTCTGCATTTGATAATGCAATGTTAGGGGCCAGGTGATGAGTGAATATCATTCAGAATTGATCCTCAGTCCAGCTGAGATTCTCTGTGATTGACAAAATTGGCAGGTTCTGCACAACTGGCACCAGTCATTTGAGAGCTTTAGACCAATGTCTCTTGGCAGTTCAACAAATTCAACAGAATTATCTCATGCTTTTCCAGCTATAGTGAGATAATTTACATAAATCAACACCTCCAAGTAGTTTATGTCATCAACTACTTTTTCCATGTGCTGCTTAAAAGTATCAGAGGCCCTAGAAATTCCTTGGTGGCATGTAATCAGCTTGGTAGACTACTACTGGAGGGATGAAGGTCATTTTTTCCTTGTATTCCTCTGCCGAGGAGGTGATTCAAGAGGATCAACTGTTTGGTCACAGCATTCAGAACTACTGGTTGCCCAGCAAATCATCCAGGGTGTAGTTCTCTTCCAAGTCAGATGGTCCAGACATGTCTTCACGTTAAAAAAAAAAAAAGTTTGCATTGACAAATCAATACAATTCAGTTAAACAAATATGGTTCTTTGGATTTAAGGTGTTATGTTAAGTGGTAGAGATGTGAAAAAAACTTTAGGAGCTTGGTATATAATGAAGAATACAGTACAACATGTATAGGGGTTAGAAAATATAAAAGTAATTTAGGGAAGAGAGAATTAATAACAAGGGGAGTCAGGAAAGACTTCCTGTAGGAAGGGGCAGGAGCTGTCATGTGTTCATTAACTTTACTTTAGCCCTCCAATTTCTTTACATCCTCTGGGGACTCACTTAGGCCACAACTTCTTCTACTCACCTCGTCGAAAACTTCTATATTGCCCTCGATTCTTCACTCACACCCTACATACCCAATTAGGTACCAAATCTTGTTCCTACTTTCACGATGTCTCTTGCATTTGCCCTGTTCTTTCTACTTATGCAGCCACTAATGTAGTTCAGGCTCCAATCACCTCTTGCCTGGACTCCTAATTTGTCTACCACCTTTGTCTTTCCCTCTGCAATCCATCATTTACACTGCTGCTAAACTGTTTTTCTGAAATATAAATGTGACCCTTGTTTATTCCCTTTTTTATAAACATCATTGGCTGCCCTGTTACCTCCAATACTGAATATAAATTGTTTGACTTTAAAAGCTCTTTAAAACCTAGCCCCAACCGATCTTTTTAGATTTATTGGATTTTATTCCCCCTATGCACAATATGGTACAACCAAACTTTCCATGAAGCCAATATTCATTTCATTTTGGCCTTTATATCTCCATCACCTTGCATAGTACCTGACACACAGGAAATAGGTAATGAATATTCAATTGGATTATCAATCCATCTGTGAATCTTACACTGTTCAATAGCCACAATGCTGTAGTTTATTTACTTTATTCCTCCATGCATCAGTATTTTGTCACTAATTTTTATTCACCTCATTGTGGCATAATGAATAGAGGGTTAGACAGGAAGACCAGACAGGTCAAGTCCTGCCTATGGCACATACTTTATCTATGACCCTGAAGAAGACATTTAAACTCTCAATGCCCCAGGAAACTTTCTAAGACACTAAGTTGAGGAGAATGTGCCAGTCTGAATGGCTGGAGAGAGTTTCATTATCTTGGAGTTCTCTAAAAACCAATGAAATCACAGGTTCAGTCCCTATCCCTGTTCTGTATCTGATTCATCTCAGCCTCTGTGTACTTGTCCTCCATCTTCCTTCTAGTATTATTTAATCCAGGCCTGCACAACATATGGCCTGTGGGCTGCTTGCAGCTCACCCAAAGATTTCAGGTGGCCCATAAAAAATGTAGAGTTGTCACTGCTCACTCTCTCCTGTTTGTCACATGACCCATGGCAACCAACCATCAGTCTGTCACTAGTCTAACCTATCTGTGGCCCAAAGTTTAGCCTATTTTAATTTTGGCCCCTACCTACTGCCAAGTTGTGCAGGTCTGATTTAATCCATCCCATCTAGGAAGCTTCACTCTGTAATAAGCTAGAAGATAGAGAGGGTTTTCTCAGACCCTCTCTTCTCCTTTAGCAGTGAGACCAGATGGCATTTACAATACACATAATTTGTGATTAGTTCCTGCAGGAAGACAAATAGCACATGCCCTGCAGGTTGGGGTGGAGGTGGAAAGGAAAACTATTATCCAATTGACTAGACTTTTTCTTGGTCTAAAGATGAAATAGAGACATGTAGATTGTTCTGCAAACTCATACTGGGAATTATGCACAGTAAATTGCATGTTTCCACACTTGTTATTCTGTAAACTCTATAAGGTCAAAGGCATGAGTGGTCCACGTAGGACCATATGTGGGGATTTAATGTAGCCCTGCCTTGTAAGGTACAGCATTCCCAGAATATACAGCAATAGATCATTCAGAACTGAGACCCTGGAGAGGCCATGTGGAAAGGGTGTAATACCCATTTTGTTTTCTTCCTGCGGCTTACATCCAGAGATATCATGAGAACCACTAAATACCCCTGTGCATCTGAGGGGGTTGTAGCCACTATGGTGCTGAACCAGCCTGGTTCCATGAGACTGCTCCTCCCTGCCCCTACCCCCACACCCAGCTCCAAGCCCTCTGACGTGTGGAGAGAGTCATGGATTAACTTCCCTTCTCTAGCTCTTTTTTGATGTTCTCTGTTTTTCAGAAAAACAGTTTAGCAGCAGTGTGAAGGATGGATTGGCGAGTGAAAGACAAAGGTGGGAGATGGATTAGGAGTCCAGGCAAGAGGTGATAGGAGCTTGAACTAGATTAGTGACTGTGTAAGTGGAAAGAAAGGGGCAAATGCAAGAGTATAGTATATACTTAGTATAGGATTCTGTATTTCCCAATGAGCTGAGCTGGCCAGAACCTCCTGTTTCTTTTCCTCCTCTCTTGTCTTTGATATTGAATACTTCACATATATTGAAAACCAAAACCAAAAACAAAAACCCTAGAGTGCTCACTTTTGTTATGTGATTATTTGGGAGTGATGGTGAATTTGGAATAAAAAGCTGTTGATTCATTTAGCACTGGCTTTGGAGACAGGCATGAAGGTGTGTGTAAAGTTGCTGAATAATTCCCCCCACACCCAATTTCCTGTCTGGTGGTATTTCTGAATATAGTGTAATTGTCAATTTAAGGTCATAAGCGAGGAGAAATAAAATCAAAGAGAGACATTTTAATCTGAACAGTCATTCACCAGATTTTATATGTATATGTGTGTTTATATGTACACACACACCTAAGTATATATGCATATACAGAAATATATGCATTTTTGACAAGCCCAAAATCTAAAGATGAAAGGGAGATAGAGGAGTTGGAATTCATCATTGGGATTCCTTGGTTTCTTCTACCCGGGGCATCTGAACCTAGGCATCACATGAGGACCTCCCCCATCATATTGATAGCATTCAGAATGCTATATTCATATTAATAGGGCAGCAGAAATAGTCATGGAGTATACCAGAGTGTTTGCATGTAGAGGTGATGGAAATTTCAGCGGAGGCAGTTTCCCTAAACCAACAAGTTGCTGTATGCAATTTCTCCATCTTGGAGGGATTGCATTTCAATAAGTAGTTACTGATTTAAAGTATCAGGTCTAAATAATTGGAAAAACATCAGTTGCTCAGGGGTAGGCCGAGCTAATACAATAAAAATGACAATTCTACCTAAGCTAATTTACTTATTCAGTGTCATACCAATCACACTACCAAAAAATTATTTTACCGAGTTAGAAAAAATAATAACAAGATTCATTTGGAAGAACAAAAGGTCCAGAATATCAAAGGAACTAATGAAAAGAAATGCAGGGGAAGGTGGCCTAGCCATTCCAGATCTTAAATTGTATTATAAAGCAGC